ATTTTGAGACAAAGTATGCATATTCAACTCAATTTCTTAAGAGCACCTGATCAGATATAACTTTAAGGATGCGTTTCTTGATGAACGGAAGATGAGTTACTAATGAACATAGACCAGGTACTCTATGATCTACTATAAGCACCTATTTGCTGTTCCTCAAACTAGCACTCCATTTTCCATCTCCATGCATTTGTGCTGGCTGTCCCCCATGGTAGGAATGCTCTCTCTGCCTCTTAGTTTTTCCTGGCTTCCTTCAAAATTCAGCTCAAATCTCACTTTCTGTTGGAGAGATTACTTTCCATCTACTCTTTATGTATCTTTTACATACCTCCATTTGAATTTAAGCTTCTTGAAGGCAGGGGGGTGGTTTTTTCCCTTACCACAATATCTGGTATATAATAAGCACTTAATAAATACATAGTGCCTAACTGACTTACTAGAAATATTTTATTATTATGTTAGTGCAGACTAAACATACAAATTTCATTCATTTCTGACACAATCTGCCAATTCTTCATATAATTTAACATATTCCTACTGTTTTACTGGGACAAGGGAAGAGGTAGAAGCTTAGACATAGACATCTAAAACAAGCAACTGTATGTCAATACTGCTCAATTTCTGAAATCTGAGAGCTCTGATCAACTTTCTACAAAATACTCAGCATAAAATATATTTCATCACCATATCATAAAATATTTCACTTTTCTAGGTGCTGTGGACCCTTTTGATAATAGTCCAAGAAAAAAAATAATACTAAAAATAGAACACTATTACCATTAATATTTATGATACATGTGACATTACCTTAACTCTTTTTCCTACCATAAAATGCCCAACTTTAAACTTGTCTATTGAATTAATAATTCAATCAATCCACTAATCATTAACTGATCAATTAATCAAAATTAATTAATCTGTTATTCATGAATGCATCAAAATATTTCTCATATGGGATGAGTCAATGAAAAGATTAAGATAAATTAGGTGATTTTAGTATGGTGTTTCTCTTTTTATACTGTTGTTGCTGTTAAAAATAATAACCACTCACATTTACATAGTATGCCTTTCCAAGCCATTTCTTCACAATAATCCTGTGAGGTAGGAAGTGCAAGTATTATTTTCTCCAGTTGACAAATAAGGAAACTAAAGCTCTGACAATTTAAATAATACTCATAAGTTCAGTGGCATGGAGGAATACATCAGAAGCAATAGTATGGCATAGCAACATAAAAATAGTGATTCTTAGTCAACACTACAGCTCTTTCTGGTTTAAACACACACATACGAGAAATTTACAAGGTATCAACTTTCAAAAGAACCAAATATGAGAGAATATGAAGTTTCTCACACGCAATACTACTTCCTTCTACCATCAAAGAAAATGCTAAGTAAAACGGAAACATAATTGAAGGAGCTTTTGATTGTATCACTGGCATTATTTCATTTGCACTTTTGTAGAAAGAGATGGAGAAAGAATCGAAAGGCTCAGGATTAGAAGTATATTAATGACAGCATCAATGAAGAGTGTCATTGCTGATGTTTAAATAAGATGAGGTAAAGACAAGGTGACAGACAAGAGTCCTACAATTAGGCAGCTAAGGGATGTACTAGGCCTGGAGTCAGGATGACCTGAATTGAAATCCAGCCTCAGACACTTACTGTGTGACTGCCCAAGTCACTTAAGCTGTCTGCCTCAGTTTCCTCAAATTTTTTTTGTATGGGGATAAAATGAGATATTTGTAAAGTGCTCTGCAAACCCTAAAGCACAATATAAATGCTAACTGTTATTACAATTTCAGAGACATAAGAAAATTCAGAAATCTATGGCATAGTCCTTTCATTTTCCCTTTGCAAAGGGAATGGCCTTCAACATAAAACTAAAGAATGGATTAGACATATACATTAGCTTTTTTCTTCTATATAGCTTTTTCTTTACTACTGTTTTTAGAAGTCTTTGAAAAATAAAAGTAAATGAAGAAAGCGTATCAGAAAAAGGTGATTTTTTTAAAAAGTTTGACAGCTATCTTTAATGCTAAAATATTGCATATAAAACTTTACCCAATCTATGGCTTAATTACTTACTGACTTTTCCCTTTCCCCCTAAATGAATCCCCTTACTAAGGGAGAGGTGGTACAGGATAGTTTATAAGGAGTTTAAGTTGTATTAAGGAAGGCCTAGGTTCAAGTTCCACCTCTAACACACACTAGGAGTGTGGCTCTGGTCAAGTCACTTAAACTCTTGGTACCCCAGACAACTCTATAAGACTAAACTGCAGAGCAGGTGACCTTTTATATTGGTAGGAGATTCCTCATTGAGAGCTTCTTAAACCAAGGAAATCACAGATTGCCTCACAAAACACAATGTATTCTACTTTTAGCAGTCTGTTTGCCCCTGGATTGAGGGAACCCAGTATATATTTCTTTTGACAATCTTACCTAACTAACCTACCCTACCTGCCTACAGGCAATGTGGCACAATGAAAAATGCGCTGGATTTAAAATGAGACTTCATTGAAATTTCAGTTCTACCACTTACTGTGAAAAGCTGGATTGTCACTTAAACTTCTACTGATTTAATAAACTGATTAATGTACTAAATATTATCTCTAATGACTCTTCCACTTCTAAATCTTTGTTCCTATGATCCTACATTGACATGCAGGATCTCATAGCTTCTGTGCTAAGACAAGAAATGGAAATGCTTGTTACAGATGTATGAAAATTCAAGACACATTTTTAAATATGATAAATTAATGGGAAATATGAAAATGTTTCAGTCTTTGCAGAAAAAATACCTATTCAACCTTACCCAACCGTCACAAAAGCATAACTTTTTTGAGCTCATAAAAGAACTGCAGTTGGATTTTTCAGATGGTCTCAACTATTTCTCATTTCAATGAGAAATTTCAGTATTATTCATATAATGAGGACAATGACATAATTTTACAAGGTATCACTAAATGCCACCAGCCTACAAAACAGTGGTTTAACTCATGAGTATATTCGAACCCTCACCTGACCCCCAACACTCCCTGGCCAAAAAGAGTGATGTTAGAATGGGAAACTTCAGTCTTGAATTCAGAATATTTCCATAGCCTTAATGAAAAAGATTCTAAGATGACCTGAAAAATCTAATAAAATTTTAAAATTTTAAAAATGTGAAATGTCTCATAGTTCTTCCTACATATAACTTCCAAATAAACTTTAGTTACTTCTAACTTTTTTTTAATCATAACATAATCAAAAAATTATTTGGCTTAGGTCTTTTTCTTTTTGTTTTTCCAAGTAAATTTTAAAATCTACCCAAGGAGAATGTATTCTATGTCTTTCTAGTGAAGAATGGCTAAAGCATTCACCAAAACTGAATCAAAATTTATTTTTGCTACTTGCATAGGGATATAAGAGGGAAGAATAACACAGCAATGTTAAAAATCATTCTTTAGGAATTAAAAGCCAAAATATGAAATTTAAGAATTGGAAGGAAAAAAGAAGGCTATAGATTTATAGACCTTAATTATTTGAAAAAGATATTATCATGCTGGTTTCTAAAAATATCAGAATACTACATAGCCCTTGAAAAGCTTTGTCTATTAAGCAAGAAGAAAAGATGTTTAACAGATATCTTTTTGGAAAAAGAAAAAATATAATTCTTAATTATTTCTTTCATAAAATATGAATTTGGGGAACATGATCATCAAAAAGGAAAGGATATAGGCAAGTACATAGATCAATGACCAACAATTAATCAAGTGGATTAATTTTATTTCATTTTATTTTATTTTTTTGGTTTTGTTTTTAGGCAATTGGGGTTAAGTGACTTGCCCTGGGTCACACAGCTAGTAAGTGTCAAGTGTTTGGTTTGAGGCTGGATTTGAACTCAAGTCCTCCTGACTTCACGGCCTGTGCTCTATCCACTGTGCCACCTAGCTGCCCCTATGTGGATTAATTTTAAAAGAAGATAACATTCTAGAACCTATGACACTGTCTCTACAAAGGAAAATGTCTTAGATTTAGTAACAGCTCCAAAACATGTTTAATTACTGAAATATCAAAACAATTTTATAATAAGGTGGTTTCACCAATAAATCTATATGAAATTCTGGGATGTTCTATTAAATTAAACTTAATTGAATTACCTTCCTATCTGCCTCCAACATATACTGTTCTTTATTACTAAAAGATAAGAAATTTTGCATCCTGCATAACCTTTATAAATAAAGTGTTTTTCCACTGTTGTTTCATATCTTACTACTTTTAGGAAAGCTTTTGGCAACAAATTGTGCACTACCAAATCAGGGGTTTTCCATGGTTTCAAAAAGTCAAAATGGTTTTGATTTTATCACTCATGAAAAACTACAGGAAGATAAACGTCTGAACATTTTTCAGTGATTATGGATACTATGTACCTAGAATTACCATTATTGTTAACCACAAACAACAATGAGACTAGGTACCACAAATACAAGAATTATGATTAATAAGATATACATTTGTGAATAAACAATACACATACTAAAAATAATGAATCACTCATTTTCACTCAATGAAAACTTTATATGTAGAACAAAAAAAGTACACACCATGGTTCTGGCCTACAGAGGAGTAATCAGATTTATATTATGACCCAAATGACAGCACTGAAGCAAAGAAAAATCTGCACTCTGAACCAAAAAAACTAGTTACAACCTAAAGTGAATATTCCTCTGAATTTTTGATGAAAAAAATTACTGCCTATTAACTGTTTTAAAAATTAGATAAAACTTAATAGCTGAATGATTCCTATAGCTATTTTTAATTCAGTCCTTGAATTTCTACAGCATGGCATGCAAGTTATACATTTAATACAAAATGCTAATAGTACAGACTCAAAACCGTTTATCTACAATCCACATAATAAAGCACCTTAGAATATTCAGTAATTATTGCTAACAAAGCCTGGGATTTATGTTGTCAATGACCTAAGAACAATGGGTCACTGGGATGTTTCCAAGTCATACCTTTTAATCCACGCCATGGTACTTCAAGAACATGTTAAGGTGAGCCACGGCTCGGCACACTTCGATGCACCTCAAAACACCTCAGCCAGTGTATCATTCTCCTTTCCTTTGGAGATCATAATGGCTCCGAAGAACTATAATGCTTCCATTTCAATGTCAGTCTCATACAAAATTTCAATAACTTTAAAAAAACAAAAACAAAAAAATGACTTTAAGTGTTAGTATGTTAAAACACTAGAGAACTGTGTTAAACAAACTGCCGTGACCAAGAAAAATAAATAAGCTGCTGCTAATATGAAACACTATCTTTTTAAACAAATACTATTATGTGTAAAGTAGTAAAGTTTTGCCATAGTGGTCTGAGGAACAGTAATTTAAAAAAAAATTTAATCTGTGATTTACTGTGGTCTCACTTTAAAACCCTGGCAAGCTGCTTAAACCTCAATTGTTGCTTCAGTTTGCCCATCAACTAAAGAAGATAGAACGAATCACTGAAGCCAAAGTGGTCAGACTCTGAATAATTATTTGGCCCAAAGCTGTGTAGCATACTTGCAGGTAGGCATTCTCTCACAGATATGAATTTTTTTTTGTAAGAGGAAGTGATACAGATCTCCTAAAGCGGAAATCATGTTGATTTAAATTTGTACACTTTCTAACAAAATGAAAAAATTTCAGTTGGTAAGGTCTTCTTACAGCATTCTATATAAATGCTAACTCAGAGATAGCAAAATCTATACACAAATTTGGCATCTCTTGATTGTTCATGATGTAGACTGGTAGGATTTTTTTTTCTTATTAAAAACCATGCTTAATTTTTTGGGGTGGGCAATAAGATTTCACCTGTAATTCCTATTTTTAATCTACTACACATCTATTTTTATGTTTAAAAAAGAAACTTGAAATTTGGTCTACAGGGAGGGAGACAAAACTGAGCTAATAGCTACTCAAATACATATATACATACACATTTATCAAAAAGGAAATAGTGATATTTTAGGATCAGCTCTGATTAATCAAGGTAAGTTTGATGTAACTGAACATTAAATAAGGATTTCAATGACCACGAAAAAAAGACTAGGTAGATGATAAGAGATAAGGTACTAAGTTATTTCTATTTATAAATGATAGGGAACATAGCAAAATCACAGGATAAAAAATTTTACTTTATAAATGTTAGAAAACATTATTCTGAGACTGATACTAAGCCACTAAAAGACAAACCAAAATAAAATATTAACAACAAATTTAAATATTATACAAGGCTTCCATCATCAGGTACTACAGCCTAACTGGTATTCTGAATTTCTTTAAAAATCAACTTTTACCAAATAAATTTTAGTTTAAAAAAAAAAAAGAAATTGCTTTACAAACTGTTTCTGAAACTACTCTTTACACCCAAATCATAAGACACTATTGACTTTTTTATTTTTTAAAATGGAGACATGTTCCCATAGAAAACAATTCTAGTGCCGAGCAAACCTTTTAGAATTATATATTTAAAGAAGATCTAAAGTATTCATTATTCATTTAGCAGTCATTTATTAAATACTTATTGCAAAGTACAGGCAGGGTACTGGGGATGATACAAAGACAATTATTCCTCCTACCACCTTCCCCACGGAGGAATAGAAAATCACACACAAACTATGCATTAATATAAAACGTACAAAACTTTAATGTTAAATAAAATATAACCTTAAGCATAAAATATGATGCAAGGTCCAAGGAAGAAAAATTCATTTCCAATTTTTGGTAAGGGTTAGGGAGGTGGGTGGAGAAATACTTAAAAAGAACACTGTAGCACTTGAGTTGAACCTTGCAGAATAAGCAGGATTTCATAAATCAGTATACTTTTTTTTTTTTAATAAGCAGCACAGGAGTATTTCTCAAATGTACTTTCATGAGCTGAAAGTAGTCTCATTCATATAAGTTTCAGCCCAGTTAACACTGTTATAAGCAGACATGGACAAATAGATGTACAGAGTGTAACAGGAATACTATATTTATTAAAATAATTAAAATACGAAAAAAGGCAAAGAGAAAATGGTTGGGAAATTTCAGATTTCCTGAACAATTACAGGGAAATTTAAGATTTTGTTTACAGCTGTCAATTCATTACATTCTTAACTTTATTAAATGTAAACTACAAATTTAAGCCATTAGGCAGAAGGAAATGTGTTCATGTGCAAGTGTACTGATCTGAACATATTTAAAATCAAGGGACTCTAGCCTTTGTGTCATGAACCTCTTTAGAAGGTGGTACTATAGAGTCTTTCTTAAAATAACAGGTTGGTTTTTTTTTTAAGTCATAATTGACGGAAATGCTAAATCTCAGTTTGGTGTTGTTATTCAGTCATTTATCAGTTGTGTCTCACTCTGTAACTTCGTTTAGGGTTTTCTTGGCAAAGATACTGGAGTGGTTTACCATTTCCTTCACTAGCTCATTTTATAGATGAGGAAACTGAGGTAAACAAGGTTAAATGACTGGCCCAGAGTCACACAGCTAGTTAAGTGTCTGAGGGTGGATTTGAACTCAGGAAAATGAGTCTGCCTGATTCCACATCCAATACTCCATCTACTGCACCAGCTAGCTGCCTAATTAAAGGTTAATGAAAATAAAGATGTAATTTTAAGTTCACAGTCCCCTTGAAATCTATCCATGGATGGTGGTTTGTGGATCCCCAGTATTCCACAGTTGATAAAAATAAACAAAAAACATCTTTTCAAAGAAAATCTACTGTAAAATACCACATTATATTTAATTATATAATCTTATTATAACACTTCTATAAGCCCCAAGCCCAAAGACAGAAAATGGGTAATTGGGTAAGGTTTTTTCAAAGTATAAAAAACTATAAATTATCACCCTTCTCTATGTTGACTTAATGAAAATCTCACAGTCTCAAACTGTGAAAATAATTAATGACCATTTTTATATCTCTTCCTTAAATTATTTTTAAAGTTAAGGGAACTGATGTATAAATACTATAATTTAGATATTAGTGGACACGAAAAGTCTTAATACTCAACCAATGTCCAAATTACAGTGACAAACAGCATGTCTAATATAAAAAGATTTTCCGAAGGTAATTTTACAGCTCTAAATCCTATGAACTAAAAAGTCTACCTGAGAACTCAAAATTTTGCCTCTTAGAAATCAGTGGCTCCCCTCCAAGTTAAGAATAGAGACTACTTCTTACAGGAGACTTTTCCTGATCTTCCAGGCTCCAATACCCCCCCCAGTTGACTTTGTATATCTTTTATATTTATCTGTGAATGTTTTCCAAGAGAAGGTAAACTCCAAGATGGCAGGGGATGTTTTCTTCTATTATTTGTGTAAGAGAGATTGTATCTTAGTGAGACCCCAGAAAAAAGCTTAGAAAAGACTGCAGGGGTTAGAAGACAGAAGTTGAAAGGTAAATAGAAAACTCAACAAAGGGCAGACCTGAACAGCTCAATTGCAAATAAAGATGCCAGCAAGACCAAGGACTTGCCCAGAGAGTACAAGCCACCTCAGGACCTAGCCACTCACACCATTCACTCACATAAAATTCCCAAAGGAGCATGGGAGACGAAATTCAATTGAACTGAAATTTACAGCTAGGAAGGAGGCAGATCACCCAGCCCACTCCAGCTCCAGCAAAACCCTTGAGGTTCTCACCAGAGCAAATAATGATCAAGATATCCAATGAGAAATTACAGGAAATGACTTCTTCCACATCAGAACTGAAAAAGGAATCCAACCAAAACCCTGAGAGCAACAGGAAAGGGGATCACCAGCAAAGCAGGCACCAGCTTAGGGTTAGGTTAGGGTTTTGAAGGGTTAGGGACATGTATGTAGCCTGCAAGGCTCTGTGTACAGGTGCATCAAGAATGGAGGGCTTGTTAGCAAAAGCCCCAGTGAGGGCAGCCTGGAAGTGGTAGACAGCAACCAACAGTCACCGATGGCAGTCAAGACCCCAGACCTGGACAATCCAACCTTAGGATCTCTGAGGTCCCTAGAATAATCTTCTGAGATGCCAGAGAGATGTGGAGATTCAGGGCTCTGAATCTCAAAAATCTATAGAGGGGGTGGGGTAACCTAGGAAGGTAGAAATCAGCACAGGAAACCAGGGCAAGACCAAAGCACAGCAGGAACTGAAGCCTTCGTACAAAGCCCCAATTCAAGAACTAAAGCTAGAGATGAGTAAATCAAAGGAAACAATGACCAATATAAAAAATTACTGCAAAGCTAGAGTCCTCCAAAAGGAGTAACTCTGTAATGGCTGCAAGCAGCAGCTCAAAGGAAGAAAAATATAATTTCCACCAAGAAATGATCTGAATACCTAAATAAATGAAGCAGGGGATTTTTTAAAAAAATTAAATAGAAGCTCTTGAGGAAAGAACTGAAAGGAGAATAAATAATTTGGAAAAGTTGTAAATCTCACTCAAGAACTGAACTTCCTGAAAGTAGAATAGACCAAAGAGAAACCAATGACTCCACGTGACAGGAAAAAATATTAGAACAAAATCAAACCATTTTTAAAAATAAGAAAACCTAAGAATATATAATATAAGATAAAAATATAAGAAATACATAAGTACTAGAAGGAAAATAAATAGTTTGGAAAAGAAAGTTGTAAATCTTACTCAAGAATTGAACTTCTTGAAAGTAGAACAGACCAAAGAGAAATCAATGCCTCCATTAGGCAGGAAAAAAATATCAGAACAAAATCAAATGATTTTTAAAATATCAAAAAAGATAACATAAGAAGATATAAGATAGTGCAATAATACAAGAAAGATAAGATACTTTATATTAAAAAACTGACTTAGAAAACAGGTTGATGAAAGAGAATTTAATAATCATCACAGTCCCTGAAAACCACCATCAAAAGTATCTCAAGAAATTTTAAGTGAAAACTGCCCAGACAGAAGGGCAAGGCAGAACAAAATAAGCATTTACATAATGTCTACTATGTGCTGGGCATTGCGCTAAGCACTTTACAATATCTCATCTGATATTCACAACAACCTTGAGAACTAGGTATTGTTATCTTCCCGGTTTTAGAGTTGAGGAAACTTAGGAAAACTTAGATGATGTGACTTGCCCCCAGGGTCACATAGCTAGTATCTGAGGCCAAATCTGAACTCAAGTCTTCCTAACTTCAGACCAAATGCTCTATTCATTGGGCCACCTAG